CCCTTTCCCTTCCTCTCTGTAAAAAAATCAATAAAATATATTTAAAAATAAAAAATAAAAAATAAATAAATTACAGTTTAAAAAAAAACACACATTCCCAGCTTCTCTTGAAAACGCTGAAGATCTGTCCATAGTGGGCCTATATTGGCACAAAGCAAAGCGGGGCAGAGTGAAAAAGCCACAGCCCCACTGAATACGGGACATTTGTTTTCTGATTCATCACAGACCAACCACTTCTTTCTAGTCCCCGGTACTGAGGCCAAAAGCCAACCGTCATTTCCCATGCTGCTTGCAGTGCTGTCTGCCTTACAAACTTCAGACTAAAGAAAGCCATACCTGATGGACCAGTGCAATCCACTCTTCACATTAACACCGTAAAACAAAGCGAGGATCCGAGAAATCACTTTACCTTAATCTGAGTCTGTTCGATCGACTTTTCCCATATCTGCTGGTCATAGGCTCCAATCTGAAACAGGGAGAGGCTATTTAAATGACGCAAACCTCACAAAGTCATAAACTACCAAATATCAATATGACATGTGGGAAATGCCTGTGCTGCTCAGAGTTTGACTAAATTAAGTGTGTGTGATATCTGGAAAACGTTTCCATGTCTTAAGGAAAACTAGAGAGGAATAAAAGGTAAGGGACAGACAACTCAATAAGACAGTTGGCAGGACACAGACACCAGGGAGGTGAGGGCATGAGTGGGGGGGGGGGGGCGCGCGCAATGGGGGAAAAAGGACACATATTTAATACCTTAATCAATAAAGAAAAATAATAAAAAAAAAAACAGTTGGCAGTAACCACCCTTGCCGGTTTGGGTCAGTGATTAGAGCATGGGCTTGCGGACTGAAGGGTCTCGGGTTCATTTCCAATCAAGGGCACCTACCTCAGTTACAGGAGGCACATGCGGAGGCAACCAGTTTATCTCTGGATCTCTCTCTCTCTCTCTTTCATGGGTGTTTCTTTCTCTCTGTCCCGCCCCCTCCCTTCCATTCTCTCTCTCTTAAAAAAAAAAAAATCGATGGAACCTGGCTGGTGTGCCTCAGTGGTTGAGTCAACCCTGAACCAGGCGGTCACAGTTGGACCCCGGCTTGGGGTACATGCCTGGGTTGCGGGCTTGATCCCCAGTAGGGGGCGTGCAGGAGGCAGCCGATCAGTGATTCTCTCTCATCTCTGATGCTTCAATCTCTCTCTCCCTCTCCCTTCCTCTCCCTGAAACCAATAAACACATTCTTTTTAATCAATGGGGAAAAATATCCTCAGGTGAGGATTCATTTTGAAAAATATTGTTGATGGCGCGCAGATAGAAGTTTCGGGTCTAACAAGGAGCGGTTTGATCAGAAGCTGTTTCCAAGTGTTTCTGGGGCGCGATGGTGTCGCCGCAGGAGGAGGCGACCGGGGATCGTACTGGGGACCTGGAGCGGGTACCGTGTCCCCCGTCTCCCCAGGCCCGTCGGGGCGCGTGCAGGAAGCCGGGGGACTAACGGGAGCTCCTCGGGGCGCCCGGCAGGAAGGGCGCGTTGCCAGAGGACGCGCCGACGTTACCTTCTTCTGGTACCACGATATGGCATCCCGCTCGCCGGAGGCCATCTGTCTCCCGGCCGGAGGGGGGGGTCTCACTGCAAACGAAGGAAACCCGGGGTGAGCCCGGCGGCGGAGAGGCGCTCATCCCGGCGGGGGCGGAACTCAGACTCCGCGTCCGCCACTCCGCGCGAGCTGCCGTCGGCTTCCCTGACTGTTTGCCAGGAAATGTTTTTAAAAAGCAAACCAGAAGGCGTCCGGGCGACGTTTTCCGCGAGTGTGTCCGCGGCTGCGGGGAGGGGAACGGAGCGTAGGGGAGGTCCCCGGAGCCT